GTTAATCATTCTGTGGGAGATCTCACCCCCATCCTTGGTCTCAGCATCAGGAAGTCAAGGTTAATCATTCTGTGGGAGATCTCACCCCCATCCTTCAAGTGTATGGCTCATTGGGCAAAGAAGGTGGCCTGAGGAGAACAGAGGAAAAGGAAAAGTGTGAGACCAAACTTCCAACTCCATAATGATGTCGGGACAGTGATCATGTGTCTTCTTGGACACGCTATCTCCATGGGGGGGTGTTGTAACAGCAAGTGATTCTTTCTTGGAGGGTACTGGGTATTGAACTTGGGGGCCACTCGACCACTGAGCCACATCCCCAGCCCTATTTTGTGTTTTATTTAGAGTCAGGATCTCACTGAGTTGCTTAGCGCCTCGCTTTTTGCTGAGGCTGGCTTTGAACTCTGGATCCTCTTGTCTCAGCCTCCCAAATTACAGGCATTCTCCACTGCACCCAGCTCAAATTATTCTTAAGATAAAACAAACTTCACCATTTTTTAAGTATACAATTTAGAGATTTAATTTAAAAGTATATTCACGGGCTGAGGTTGTGGCTCAGTTGTAGAGCACTTGCCTAGCATGTGTGAGACACTGGGTTCGAGTCTCAGCACTTCATATACATAAATAAAATAAAAATCCATTGACAACTAAAAAATATTTTAAAAAAGTATATTCATGGTTCCCTGTCCCTCCCCCCCAAAAAAGTATATTCATGAGTTGGGGGTGTTGCTCGGTGGTAGGGTGGTAGAGCACTTGCCTAGCACGTGTGAGGCACTTGGCACCATATAAAAAAATAAAGTTTTTAAAAGAAGTATATTCGTAATGCTGTGCCAAAATCACCATAACCTATTTTAGAATGTTTTCATTGCCTCTCACCCTCCCACCCCGTCTCAGGCTGTGGCAGCCACTGACTTGCTTTCTGTCTCTGGAGTCTCCTGCATATTTCACATAAATGGAGTTAAATGTGTTCTTTCACGACTGGCTTCTACCATTTAGCACATTTTCAAGGTTCACTGTTTCTTCGTATGTATGAATACATCATTTCGTGGTTAAAAAACCACTCTATTGTATATGGATAGACCACATTTTGTTTATCCATTCATTAGCCGGAGGTGTGAACTGTTTCCACTTTTTGGACATTGTGAATATTCACATTGTTGTGCAAGTTCTTGTGTCCCCGTAGAATTTTGTAAGCTGAGCTGGGTATGGTAGCAGATGCCTGTAATTCCAGGTACTTGAGAGGCTGAGGCAGAAGGACTACAAATTCAATGCCAGACTGGACGCTTGGTGAGACCCTGTCTCAAAAATAAGAGGGCCGGAGGTGTAGCTTATTGGCCTAGCGCTTGCCTGGCAGGCATCAGGCCCTGGATTCAATCTGCAGGGGGAAAAAATTCTACTGTCTGTAATGGAGAGAGGCTGCAGGGGAATCCTGCCTCTGCCTACTACTCCCCCAGGGTCTGAGGTGTCCTGGGTAGGCAGGCTGCCTCCATCACCCTCATCTTTCCTGGGGCCACCTGCCCTACCTGGGCTTTTTGAAGAGTCTTTGGTGTTGTGACTAAGTTTCAGGGAGCTGCCTCAATGAAAAACTGAAGGAGGGCCCATTTCCTGGGCAGTTGGTGTACCCTGCAAACTTGAGCTGTCTGAGGAAATTAGAATCCAGGCTTCTTGGGAGTATTTGTTGCAAGGAACAAATGCAAATCTGTAGAAAGCCCATTCTGGGATCACGATACAGAGTCTCCATGAAACAGATAAGGACCCAGGCAGAGGGCTGGGCTTCCCTCCTCCATTCCTGCTGTCCTGGACCATGGTAGGTACGCCCTGCTTTGTAAGTAAATGCTTGGAAGCTTTAAAACTGAATGGTCATTATTTCTCTCTAGTTTTTAGAAAGAATTGGTATCTACGGAAATGTATACGTCTGTGTGTTTCTTCTCCCACCCTTTTCCAAATCCCACCAACTTGATCACTGAACGGCCAAAAAAGCTCAGATGCTTGCTAATGTGGACAAGTTAGTGCCACTTGACCCCAAAGACTTATTCTGAAATTATAATTGTTTCAGAAGAACATTCTGGTTTCAGAGCAGTAGCTTAGGTTCTCAGAGAAGAGGAAAGGGCACACCCTTTTATTAATTCAGGGTGTTTCCTGGTCCTTAAGACATTAGCCTGATTGTGTGTTCTCAAGGAATTACAAGTCTCATGATATAAACCACAGGCAACAAAAGCACTTTGAACCTTATCAAGGCCTGTACAGATGCCAGATGGCTTATGGAACATAGAGCAGATTCTGTTCCAGCAACCTACAGTGAATGAGGCCCAGCAAGGAGACCATACTGGTTTTCTTTAGTAATATGCCACGTAATGCAAATCTACAGAAAGAGAAATCAAGAGAACTAGAAATGGCAAATGTGAAGATTAATGAACTCCTCCAAAAATATATTCTTTCCTCTAAAGTTTTAAAAACAAGATTATGTAAGAACAATATAACAGGATATGGTTGAGTTGTAACATATAGACAAAGTTAATAGGGGCCACAAAGGAGAGAGGAGTGGCTGGAGCTATACTGGGGCAGTTTCTCTATCTTTCTGGAATTGTTAGTATAAATATGAAGTAGATACTGAAATATGTATACTGTAATACTTAGTGTCTGCTAAGTATAAAATTTAAAAATTAGGGCTGGGGATGTGGCTCAAGCGGTAGCGCGATCGCCTGGCATGCGTTCGGCCCGGGTTCGATCCTCAACACCACATACCAACAAAGATGTTGTGTCCGCCGAGAATTAAAAAAAAATTCTCTCTCTCTCTCCTCTCTCACTTAAAAAAAATTTAAAAATTAAAAATCATGGGGCTGGGGATGTGGCTCAAGCGGTAGCGCACTCGCCTGGCATGCGTGCGGCCCGGGTTTGAACCTCAGCACCACATACCAACAAAGATGTTGTGTCCGCCGAGAACTAAAAAATAAATATTAAAAAATTCTCTCTCTATCTCTCTCTCTCCCTCCTCTCTCACTCTCTCTTTAAAAAAAAAATTAAAAATCATTAAAGGAATGAGTGGTATGCTAGAAAATAGCTATTAAAACAGTAAAGAAGAGACAAGACAGGCAAAGAGGAAAACAAATAACAAAATAACAGGTGTAAATGAGTCACAAACACCTTGGGCCTGGAAACTGGGCCCTGGTGGTTGACCATTAAATGTCTGGTCCATCTAGCAAGAATTCACTTTACATCTGTGGAAATGGAACGGGACAAGGAGGGACAGGATTTGCACTGAGGAATACAGCTGACCTGTGAAAGGTGTGTGTGGGGGGGCACACACCTTTTTTGCATGACATCATGCTGCTGTAATTCCCTCAGATTTTCTTTGATGAGCTATTGAATAGTAATCTTTATTAGTTATTGATATTGGAGGCCACGTCTTGATCAGAGGCCTCTGTAGCTGCATAATCGTGTAGACTTACCCCCAGTGTACCGTCCCCTCCTCCTCAAGGCAAAGTTTCTTCCTGTCATTCTCAAATCCTGTGTCACTCTTTCCAACTTGAATTCACAGATTTTACTTAGAAAAGATCTAACAGCTGAGGACAGTGGCACATGCCTGTAGTCCCAGTTCGTCAGAGAAGGCTGAGGCAAGAGAATGGCCAAGTTTGAGGACAACCGGTCTGTGCACTG